CAATATGACCGAGTGGAAGCTGACCCCAAATGTAATTGTGTCGAGCCTAATCAAACACTTGGACACTGCCTGATATGATGCCTTCTGTCAACATCCTGTTCTCCCAAGGAACTATTCACAATAAATGATTACACCAGATTGTGGCTGCAGTTTTGGAGCAATAAGCTATGATGATGGCCTATCGGACTGCTTATCAAAGCATGAAAGAGAGAATGAAATCCACTATAAAGGATCTACATATTCTTCAAGTGCTCGTTTTGGGTAGGCCTTCAACACAGGTTGAAGAGGTGGCACAGTTTGCCTCCATCTTCCTGGAGAAGGCTCATCTTTTGAAAATTTGGAAAGGTTGTTTCGAAGACCAATAAGACCAGCATTGAGGATGATGATCTAGACAATGAAATTGCCAGACAAGCTCACAGGACTGAGCCTTGTCTGTACTACAAATGCATTGCTGGTATAATTATATTGGCATAGCCCCCTAGTGTAGATGTGGCGTATGCCAGCAGAAGAAGTTTTTCTATTGGCTTAGTAACACCATCTCCTCAAACTGCATTAGCTATAGCAACAGAAGCACTTAGGTCAGCATAGTTGTCTACACTGGGGGTTGTGCCAGTGCAGCTGTGTCAAGTGTGGTGGAGGTTTTCTACACTGCTGCCTGACATAGCTACGCCAGCAAAATGTTGTAGGGTAGACCTGACCTGAGAATGTAAGGAGTGAGGTGACGAATTGAGGCACCCTGGAATATGCTCCTACTCACCATAAGCGAGGGGTAGATCTTCATTATGGAAGTGAGATAGTACTGAAGGGAACTTCACATCTAGCTAATATGGGGAGTCAGTTTCATTTAGTTTGTTTGCTCTTGGGTACCAGCTGAGAGAACTACTTGAGGCGCCTCCAGGAACTAATGACAAACTAGATTAGAATTCTGCAAACCAGAGAAACTGGGAAGCTGGCCAAAAAGCAACCAACAGTATCGTGAAGAGCGCTAGCAGCAGCAAGAGCCAAGCGAAGGAAGATTAGAATCTGAATTACAGACTTTAGGCATGTTGGAGTCTGTGCAAACAGGAATCTATCTTGTAAACAATTGCAAGTGCATAAATAAAAATGGGGCATGTAACTTCCAGAAGGAGATTTGGCTAGAGAGAATATTTGGACAGATGGCCTCAGGGCAGTGACTGAAAGGACAGACTCTCAGAGGAGAGGGTATAATGGGTAGTGTTGAAGTGATAGTTGGGGGTCTAATTTGGCTCCAACACACAAGCAATATGCTTTGACTAAAATGGGAATTGTGTATTCAAGTACATAGTCTGGCACTAAGAGTTCTCACTAGTTGGTGAGTAGTGCTGTACTTCTAAGGTGTCACTTAAAGTAGCCAGTGTCTTGGTATGTGGGTCTGTACAAGGACTACTGATTGATGTTTTGGGCTAGTACTGTCCCAGGCTGCCTACTGTCTGCTCTGATCATTCTGCTGCTGCTTGCTTCCTGCTGGTTGGTTGGTTTTGTTCTTCTCCCACAGAGCTGTCCTTCTAAGGAGGACCTGTGAAACAATTTCTCAGTCCACTCCCTTCCCCCTCCCCAAAATGTTCAGCATGATCATACGTGCATGCAAAGGGACAGCCCTGGGATTTTGGGAAGAATCTGTACAATGAAAATCTAAGGTATCCCTTACTTTATTTAAAAACAGGGCATCAGAGATGGCTCACTCAGTCTCCTGCTGCAAAAGTGAAGCATGACTTTATGTTGAGCTCCATGTATTGCCAAACACTTAGGCATTTCAGTGGACATTTCCCCAAATGAGCTCACAGATCTGGGATCCACTAGCTCTCAGCCATTAGAATTTTGTGTGCATTCCGGTGAATTTTAACACTTGCAATGATCTATTAGTCTTTATAATCTATGCAACACCTCCATGAAGTAGGCAGAGCAGTGGTACTGAAGGCAGAAACTATGTATTTGGGTGGTTGTTACTACTTCAAGCCAGGCGGTGTGGCAGAACCCCAGCACCTCTGAGGCAAAGTAAAGGAGGGAGAGGAACACAAGGGCTAAGTGACTTGACTAGGGCATTTATGGACATGGTATCAGACCTAGGATTAGAACTCCATTCCTGTACTTAATTCGCTATCTTGGGTTGTCTCTTGTGCTGTTGAGCTACCCTTCATAATGACTGGAGATCACAATAATTCCTCATCAGAGGAGTTTGCTTCAAGGCAGGCAGCCAGGAGGGAACCTGTGGTGGCCCTAGTACCATCAGTAACATTCAGGCCTGGTCTACACTATGGGGTTAGGTCAAATTTAGCCGTGTTAAGTCTATTTAAAAATGAATGCGTCCACACAACCAACCCCGTTCTGTCGACCTAAAGGGCTCTTAAAATAGACTTCTGTACTCCTCCCCAGCAAGGGGAGTAGCGCTAAAATCGACTTTGCTGGGTCCAATTTGGGGTAGTGTGGATGCAAATAGATGGTATTGGCCTCCGGGAGCTATCCCAGAGTGCTCCATTGTGACCGCTCTGGACTGCACTAGCCAGGTACACAGGAAAAGCCCCGGGAACTTTTGAATTTTACTTCCTGTTTGGTCAGCGTGGCGAGCGAACTCAGCAGCACAGGTGACCATGCAGTCCCCCCAGAATCGGAGAGCGTAGAATGTTTCTACGCTCCCCCCATCATCTCTGTCCCTGAGGTTATCGCAGATTAGATGGCAAAAAAAAAAACGCACTCACGATGACGTGTTTTCCGAGCTCATGCAGTCCTACCGCATGGAGGCATTCAGTGGCAGAGGCCAGGAAAGAATTAAGTGAGCACGAAGAGTGGAGGCAGGACGCAATGCTGAGGCTAATGGGAGAGCAAATGGACATGATGAAGCGTCTGTTGGAGCTTCAGGAAAGCCAACAAGAGCACAGACCCCCGCTGCATCCACTGTATAACTGCCTACCCTCCTCCCGATGTTCCATAGCCTCCTCACCCAGACGCCCAAGAACGTGGGGGGGAGGCTCCGGGCACCCAGCCACTCCACTCCAGAGGATGGCCCAAGCAACAGAAGGCTGTCATTCAAACAGTTTGATTTTTAGTGTGGCTACAATAAGCAATGTGGCCCTGTCCTTCCCTCCTCCCCCACCCCACCCGGGCTACCTTGTCCATTATCTCATTTTTTTTTTAAATTAATAAAGAAAGAATGCATGGTTTCAAAACAAGTTAGTTTATTTCGAAGGGAGGAGGGTGGTTGGCTTACAGGGAATTAAAATCAACAAAGGGGGCGGGTTTGAATCATGGAGAAACACACACAACTGTCACACCGAAGCCTGGCCAGTCATGAAACTGGTTTTCAAAGCCTCTCTGATGCGCAGCGCGCCTTGCTGTGCTCTTCTAATCGCCCTGGTGTCTGGCTGCTCAAAATTGGATGCCAGGCAATTTGCCTCAACGTCTCACCCTGCCATAAATGTCTTCCCTCCTCCCCCCCCCACTCTCACATATATTATGGAGCACACAGCAAGAAGCAATAACAATGGGAATGTTGGTGGCGCTGAGGTCTGACCAACAGCGCCAGAGAGCTGTTAAACGTCCAAAGGCACATTCTACCACCATTCTGCACTTGCTCAGCCTATAGTTGAACTGCTCCTTACTACTGTCCAGGCTTCATGAACGGATCCCCCAGGCAGCGGAAGCGGTGGACGAGGATGGTTAGCAGTGCTACTGCACCGTCTGCTGCCAGCAGCACCCGGAGGACCAGAACGGATCCCCTGAGCTCATCACTGGGGAGCAGGAGAGCAGAGTTGAAGTGGTGGAGCCGTACACCGTGCCCTGGAGGTTGCTAGGAGCTGGGCAGGGAAGATGTTCCCAGAATCCCCGGCCAAGCTACATGTCCGACGAGGATGATTAGCAGTCCTACTGCACCATCTGCTGCGAAGGCAAGGAGCTGCTGCTGTGTAGCAATGTCAGCTGCTGCAGATGCTTCTGTGTCGAATGGTTGGAGGTCCGGGTAGGGCAAGGTACCTCGGCCAAGGCAAAGGAGCAAGAGCCCTGGAGCTGTTATATGTGTCAACCACAGAAGTGCTATGGGGTGTTACAGCGCTGACCGGACTGGAATGTACGGCTGGAAGACTTCTTCACCAGCAACAAAGGACAGGAATATGATGCACCTAAAATCTAAAAAGGCCCACATGTTTCACAGAGTCACTACCCTTTATAACAGAATGTCAATGATTGCATTGGCTACTTGGATCACAGGAGCCCCCACAATAGACTTGCCCACAACAGCAGCGGTGATGGTGAGCTGAGTGGGCTCCATGCTTGCCATGGTATGGCGTCTGCACGGGTAACCCAGGAAAAAAGGCGCAAAACAATTGTCTGCAGTGGCTTTCACGGAGGGAGGGGCGACTGACGACATGTACCCAAAACCACCCGCAACGATGTTTTTGCCCCATCAGACATTGGGATCTTAACCCAGAATTCCAATTGGGTGGCGGAGACAGTGGGATAGCTACCACAGTGCACCGCTCCGTAAGTCGATGCTAGCCACGGTACTGAGGATACACTCCACAGACTTAATGCGCTTAGTGTAGACATAACGCAATCGACTGTATAAAATCTATTTCTAAAAATCGACTTCTATAAAATGACCTAATTTTGTAGTGTAGACATACCCTCAGAGTGGAACTACCCCACAACTCTGAATTGATCCGCTCCTGCCAGATATCAAGGAGGATATGACTGCAAGTCAATGGGTCCTAAAGATTGACCATGGGTGATATTCACATAGGGGTGCATGAATGACCTATGATCTTCAGGAAAAGTCCTGGAGATGAGTTTTTTTGCACACGTGTGTGGCCTTCATAAGGGAAAGGGGCAGAAGTCATTGAAAATGAAAACTGAAAATCTCCTTTAGGTTTAGGGCTTGTGTACACTTGGAAATTTACCAAAATAGCCATCCCAGAGTAATTATTCCAGAACAGTTACTTTAGTATGACCCCCCCCCCAGCCCATGGACGCTCTTTCTCCAGAATGAGTGCCTTTTATCTGAGTTTTAGTTTAATCCACTTTCAAAATGAAAAACAGAAGTAAATGGGTGACTTTTCCCTGGTATAGGAACTAGGAAAGATGTCTTGGAGAAACTTCCATGTGGCCCTGTGCATTGGGAGTGCTGTGAGGTCCTGGAGCCATATTTGAGCACTGGTTAGCCTTTTGATAGGAAAGATCATCTTCCTCCACTTGCTTGTTATCAACTTGCAAAAGGTTTTGTGGAATTCAGTCTCAGAAATGTTGTATCATCAGTACCCACTTTCCATTGCCAGGTATGCAATCGGCAATCTTGCTTTCATGAGCCACATGGGGACTTGAAACACATTTTTCCCCCAGTTTCCCTAGTACTTATTCTGGCAACTACAGCTGGTCTTCTGGTTCTCTTCTTGGCTGCAAGATAGTCAATTGCTCTGTGGCTTCCCTTGGTTTTCAGATAAGCTTTGTATACTTTCACACACCATGTAGTGAAGTTCCTCTTACTGCTGTTCTAATCTGCCCTTGAAGAAAGAGGAAACAAAAAAGTAATAAGGAGAGTTCCCCTTCCAAAATGAAGATTTAATCTAAATTTAAACTGCCATGGGCAACACTTAAAAACAACCAGTATAAACAGAAACCCTTTTTTACCGCAGTAGCTGTATTAGGCAGGGCCCATGGTGTCTGGGGTCCAGCAATATTCAGGACATGGGGGGCCCAGCTCCACCAGTGTTCCAGGCCAGGTCTCTCCCCTAGCCCTGCCTGCTGCCCCCGCGCATCCCTGCCTGTGCCCTGCCATGCTGGGCAAGGGCCAGCCCCATCCCCCACCCCCAGTGAGGCTACAGTGAGGGGCAGCAGTAGGGGAGAAGGTGTACATGTGATGGCAGCTGTTCCCTCTCCCCCGCCACCCACCACAGAGGAGGTAAGGGGGCTTCCTGGACCTGAGAGGAGCCCTAGGAGCACGTGCAGTGACAGTGGTGCAAGGTGAGTGTGCTGCCGGGGGGGAGAAGGGGCCTTTCCCCTGGAGCTCGCTGCTGCCGGTGTGGGAGGGGCTGGGGTGGGGGGGAGTCCTCTCTGGCCCCGGCTGTGGGTAGCATTCCTGCACCCCAAACTCCTCATCCCTGGCTCTGCCCCACCTCAGAGCCCACAACCCCAGCCAGAGCCCTCACCCCCCTGCACCTCAACCCTCTGCCCCAACCTTGAGCCCCTCCCACACCCCAAAACCCTCATCCCCAGCCAGAACCCTCATCCCCCTGCACCCTAACCCTCTGCCCCAACCTTGAGCCCCTCCCACACCCCAAAACCCTCATCCCCAGCCAGAACCCTCATCCCCCTGCACCCTAACCCTCTGCCCTAGCCCCCTCCTGCACCGTGAACCCCTCATCCCTGGCCCCACCCTGCAGCCCTCACCCCTGCAGCCCAACCCTCTGAGCCCCTCCCACACCCAAATCCCTATTCCCAGCCCCACCTCAGAGCCCTCACATTTTTAAGTTATTGTAAAAAAAAAAAATTTATATCCGCTTACAAGGCGGGGGGAGGGCGGGATCTGGACCCCTTCTGGGCACCACCAAAAATTATACAAACCTGCTGTCCCTGCTATTAGAAGTATTGGTGGAATTTATAAAAGTTGTCTCTGAATCACCTGTGTTCACCATAGACTCCATCTTGTGCTCCTTCAGTTGGATTTTAGCCTGAATGAGGTGAGGAAGATAGGGCACACTGTATCATGTCTGAAGGATGAGATTGGGCTGCTAGCCTTTGTGATACTAAACTTTAAACTTCCTCTTCCATTAACACACAAAGCCTCTAGGTTGTATAATATTACTAACATGCAACCCTGGAGACCTGACTTCTTTTAGCTGTAATCAGAGGCACATCATAGGCAATGCAAGGATCTCCACGTGGCTGTTACCCAGGTGCTCCGGCCTATTCAAGAGGGGGCAAGCCATGAGAGGGAAGTTCAGTCTCCAGACCTATTCAGTAAGCTTTATTAAGCACTAGCCAAGTACACAAGCAGATACTGTCTGTCCCAAAAAGCTTACAATCCATGATTTAAAAAAAACAAATTACATAGGAAGTGGGAGACGATCAGGTGTGTACGACTTTTTCGTGTATGACTTTTTCATGTACTTTTCCAGGTCATTACAAAACTGAGCCCTGGTCTACACTACGAGTTTAGGTCGAATTTAGCAGCATTGCATCAATTTAACCCTGCATCCATCCACACAACAAAGCTGTTCTTTTCGACTTAAGGGGCTCTTAATCGATTTCTGTACTCCTCCCCCCGACGAGGGGATTAGTGCTGAAATCAACCTTGCCTGGTCAAATTTGGGGTAGTGTGGTCACAATTCGACGGTATTGGCCTCTGGGAGCTATCCCAGATGCTCCATTGTGACCGCTCTGGACAGTGCTCTCAACTCAGATGCACTGGCCAGGTAGACAGGAAAAGGCCCGTGTACTTTTGAATCTCATTTCCCGTTTGGCCAGCGTGACAATCTGCAGGTGAGTGCAGATCTCATCAGCAAAGGTGACCATGATGGAGTCCCAGAATCGCAAAAGAGCTCCAGCATGGACCGAATGGGAGGTAGGGATCTGATCGCTGTACGGGGAGACAAATCTGTGCTATCCGAACTCCGTTCCAAAAGACGAAATGTCCAAACATTTGAAAAAAACCTCCAAGGGCATGAAGGACAGAGGCTATAACAGGGACCCGCAGCAGTGCCGCGTGAAACTTAAGGAGCTCAGGCAGGCCTACCAAAAAAACAAAGGCAAACAGCCGTTCCGGGTCAGAGCCCCAGACATGCCGCTTCTATGATGAGCTGCATGCCATTCTAGGAGGTGCAGCCACCACTACCCCAACCCTGTGCTTTGACTCCGTCAATGGAGTAGCACGCAACAGGGATGCGGGTTTTGGGGATGAGGAAGATGATAGCTCACAGCAAGCAAGCAGAGAAACCATTTTCCCTGACAGCCAGGAACTGTTTCTCACCCTGGACCTGGAGACAGTACCCCCTGGACCTGCCAGGCAGAGAAGAGCCCTCTGGTGAGTGTACCATTGTAAATATTATACATGGTTTAAAAGCAAGTGTGTTTAATGATTAATTTGCCCTGGCATTCGCAGCCAGTACAGCTACTGGAAAAGTCTGTTAACGTGTCGGGGGATGGAGCGGAAATCCTCCAGGGACATCTCCATAAAGCTCTCCTGGATGTACTCCCAAAGCCTTTGCAACAATGACTTTATTGCCTCTGCAAGCGGAGATCAAAGCGGGGAGGGGAGGGCGATTGGCTTACAGGGAAGTAGAGTGAACCCAGGGTGGTGGGGTTCATCAAGGAGAAACAAACAGAATTTTCACACCGTAGCCTGGCCAGTCATGAAACTGGTTTTCAAAGCTTCTCTGATGCGCACCGTGCTGTCCTGTACTCTAACCGCCCTGGTGTCTGGCTGCGCGTAATCAGCAGCCAGGCGATTTGCCTCAATCTCCCACCCCGCCATAAATGTCTCCCCCTTACTCTCTCAGATATTGTGGAGCGCACAGCAAGCAGTAATAACAATGGGAATATTGGTTTCGCTGAGGTCTATCCAAGTCAGTAAACTGCGCCAGCACATTCTACCACCATTCTGCACTTGCTCAGCCTATAGTTGAACAGCTCCTGACTACTGTCCAGGCTGCCTGTGTATGGCTTCATGAGCCATGGCATTAAGGGGTAGGCTGGGTCCCCAAGGATAACTATAGGCTCTGGTCTGGGAAGAAAGTCCCTTGCTGCAGCTTTTGAAACAGACCAGAGTTCCTGAAGATGCGAGCATCACATACCTTTCCCGGCCATCCCACGTTGATGTTAGTGAAACATCCCTTGTGATCCACCAGTGCTTGCAGCACCATTGAAAAGTACCCCTTGCGGTTTATGTTCTCGCTGCCTTGGTGCTCCGGTGCCAAGATAGGGATATGGGTTCCATCTATCGCCCCACCACAGTTTGGGAATCCCATTGCAGCAAAGCCATCCACTATGACCTGCACGTTTCCCAGAGTCACTACCCTTGATATCAGCAGGTCTTTAATTGCCCTGGTAACTTGGATCACAGCAGCCCCCACAGTAGATTTGCCCACTCCAAATTGATTCCCGACTGACTGGTAGCTGTCTGGCCTTGCAAGCTTCCACAGGGGTATCGCCACTCGCTTCTCAACTGTGAGGGCTGCTCTCATCCTGGTATTCTGGCGCTTCAGGGCAGGGGAAAGCAAGTCACAAAGTTCCATGAAAGTGCCCTTACGCATGTGAAAGTTTCGCAACCACTGGGAATCGTCCCACACCTGCAACACGATGCGGTCCCACCAGTCTGTGCTTATTTCCCGGGCCCCAAATTGGTGTTCCACAGCATGAACCTGCCCCATTAACACCATGATGTCCACATTGATACGTGCTGAAAGCTTAGCATGTAATGAGCTAGATGGAATGGGTTTCATAATATATTGCAGATACCCTGAGCTATATAATCCCTCTCCTTCCTGAAACTCTCCATGGAGCTATATCCAGTGGCTAAAGTAGCTTGAAAAAGGAGGAGGTGCTTTGCCTCTTCTGCTAAAAGAACTGCATTCCCCTATCTAGATGTTCCCACAAAATATGGGTTCCCAAACCGTGGCCAATACGCTACCAGTGACCTGTGGATAGCTGCCTGGTCACATGTTTCTGGGCTGCCTCCTTGCTTTGAACTTCTAAACTACATAGAAGGAAGTTCTTTAGCTTTCTAGTATTTGTGTTACAGTAGGTACTATAGGTCTTAACCAAGATCATGACCCCCATTGTGCTGGGTGCTTTATCAAACATGTTGTGAAGTCTGTCCTTGCCATGAAAACTGTAAAGGCCAAGTAGTAAAGATGAGGGGAAGACTCAGAGGTCACATGACTTACCTAAGGTCACACTACAGGTTAGAGGCATAGCTGGGACTGGAACCCAGGTTTCCTGCATCCCACTCAGTGCCCTTCCACTGGACAGCTGATGTCCCTGCCTTGTCTGTTTTTGGGGAATAGCCATCATTAACAGTCTGTCAACTCTCTGTGTAGCTATACAGTAGTTGATGCCTAAATGTGGACAGGAGCAAGACAGGCTCAACTGGTGCAAACTTTGGCTTGCTCTTGTGTATGTTTAGGGTCAGCCCTAGTGCAGCTGTACAGATAATTGGCCACTGATTGCTGAGTGTAGACAAGACCTATGTATCCTGCATAAGCAACTGCTGTAGTCGCAACAGGAATGTTTGATTATATGGATTGGCTGCCTGCCCGCTCTCATTACTAATTATAAATGGCAAGGGAACTGATCTTCAGGAGTCTCTCAAAGATGCAAATGGGAGTTGGGCACCAAACTGCCCTTTAAGATGTGATCCACTCTATGGAAAATCTGACTATCTTGATCTCCTAGAGATGAAGGAGGGTAGCCCATACAACTGAACAACTTTAAAGTCAATGTTGTTCATGTTTTAACTGCCCTGCCATCCATATGAACTGGAGAATCCAAGACAGGGATAATGAGCTGGTGTAACTCTCTGACAACCTGAAATATACATGGGTACTTCCTATGTAAGGATAAGCAAAGGAACAGTGTTTAAAAAAAAAAAGTTAAAACTTGGAGAGCTGAAATACAGGCTGTTTAAAACAATGAGCCATTAAATAGAGATCCGGTGTAAGTATGAAATATAGAATTTGTATTTGAATGCTAATTATCTGTTAATCTTAGGTGGAAAACATTTCATGCATCATGAAGACAGTCCCAGCTGAATGATAATTTTTCTTTGCCAACACCCTAGTAGAAATTAGGCTGCATGGTCTCCCATCTCAAATGTGACTTGCAAAGTAGGGAAAATGGGTTTGCTTTTTTGCTATATAAAGAAGGCCAGGAGGTTCTCCCCTGTTTTTATTTTAATTCTAATATAGGAACGTGGGCTTGACATACTAGATCAGACCTATCGTCAGTCTCGTCCATATTGAGTCCTGGTAAGGGCACCTGCAGTATTAACATAATGGTGTTTGCTCTAGTTATGATTTCTCCAGATTTTAGTTGTACCAAACACTATTAATGTCAACGAGTACCTTAATTCTGGGATTTCCTAACTTCTTAATGCTTCACTCTGCAACTTTATTTGTGTGGAATTCACCCATGACTGTGGCTTCTGTTGCTGCCCCTGGCAGGTGAAACTCATTAAACAAAAGGTAGTTAAAAGCAAATCTCCTAAACTTCAAGACCCTGCTCCTGTGACTTGAGTACTGTGTGGCTCAAGTGCAGGTTCACTGTGGGACAGACAGGAGCTCTGAGTTAAACCCAGGCCGTGGAAGACCCTGGAAGTGAAGGGAAGAGGGTGTATACTAGTGATACTTGAAACCTCAGTGGTTCAGGAGCCAAATTAGCGAGCAACATTACCCAAAAAAGCCACACTAGTGTGAATTCATTGTTTTATTTACTATTGTACTGTGTATTCATATTTAAACAGTTTATATATTATTCTCACAGCAAAATGACTGTCCAAGTATTATTTTATCATCTACAGGTGGTTAATTGTATAGTAAAAGCATCCCGATTGGCTAATAATTAAATTAGTGTTTTAATATCATGGGCTGCAAAGAGCCACAGGAGACGCATTAAAGAGCCACTTGCGGATCAAGAGCCTCAGTCTGAGTATCACTGGTCTACACTGACCTGAACT